TTATAATACTCATTTTTATGTAAGTTATGAAGAATATATTAATTGCATAATTTCTTGATAAATAAATAAATAAAATCTAAAATTTTGAGAATAATGTGTATTTTAATAAATATTAATAATATTAAGAATCCTCTCCATACATTACAAACGTTTATAAAAGTTTTAATATTTATTTTTTGCATCAATATTTAATTAAAAATATGAAATATTATTAATTAAGTGTAAAAATGACTGTAATTTCTATCACATTTTAATTCAATAATACAGTAGTATTACTATGCTAATTTGCTATACTGTACAATCAAATAGTTAATGTTATAAATTTTGAATAATGAGTTTTATATTATCAAAATTTTATTCCTTATAAAATCAATTGAAAAATTATTATCAATATTTAAATTTACAATTTACATTATGTTTAATTATTTTTAATTGCCTTCTGAATCCAATTTAAAAAATAAGATACTTTTGTGTAAACCCCAGGATATGGACCTAAATAATAATTTTAAAATATAATAATAATAATTCGGTAAATATAAATATACTGGTTTATATGGTCTGTTCAATAGTTTACCCGCACATTCATAACCATACGACACAATCCCTAGTAATGTTCCTCTGCCTGTCATATCAATTGCATAAACTTCACTCGTATTTAATATTAAATTGTAATTTATTTTTCATACCATTTATAATATCAAGTGCGGGACCACCAGAATCACCCTTAAAATATAAAAACTCACAATCAGTTATTACATATGATGTGAATATTTGTAAACACCTAGAACTTACCGTACAGGCGTCCATATTGTCATTGAATGAACAAATTTGTGATCTGAATATTGGCCACGAGTTTTTCTTATATATTTGCGCACATATTTCTATGGGCACTATATTTAGTTTAATTTCTTGTAGCTCAATCGGGGGTACTTTTATTAAATAATTAAGATATCCCCACCCGGACACTATTAGTTTGGCACTTTTGGGCTCTTCGAACGGAACCGATGGCAAACAAATTGGTTGAGTCTTATGATTCCATTCAATGGCTTTATCCAACTTCATGAGTCCAATGTCTGACTCTCGCTTTCCCAATGCATTATACCTTTCATGAAAAANCCTTACATTTGGTAACACTTCCATCTTTTCAGCTACTGATCCCATCTCCATATCTGTGCCGAATTGCGGTCATTATAAACAAACCTCTGTTAACGTCCGGATTGTTAACGGACACAACGCCGCACAGGGAACTCATCCATGGATTGCAGCGGTTTATAAAAATGGTAAATCCATTGCCGGTGCTGTCATTATGAACGAGTGGTGGCTCATAACGGCTGCCCACGTCTTTGAGTAAATTTTATCATTTATTTAACAATAGATATTAAACAAGTGATTAAATGAATGCATTCATAGGAATAGACGAACCCATGATTACTTCGTGGTAAGAGTGGGCAATAATAATCACTTGAATGGAGTGCCATATAATGTGACAAAAATTATTTCACACGAAAGTTATAACAAATATAATTATAAAGAGTCGGACATTGCGCTCATGAAGATGAGTGAACCGATTGCAATGAATCATTCAATTCAATCCATTTGTCTGCCATCGGTTCCATACGAAGAACCCTCTAGTGATGTGGTAGTGGTGGCCGGTTGGGGGCTTTTGAGGTACGATACAGGATCTGGTCCGATTGATTTACAAGAAGTTAAACTAAATATAGAGCCCATCGAAAAGTGTGCCAAAACTTTTAAGCGCCAATCTTATAAGATTTACAGATCACAGATTTGCACATTAGATGAAGGAAAGGATGCCTGTAGTGTATGTCCAAAATTGTCTGATTGTAAAAACATCTGTTAATGTTTATGTGTTTGTATTTTAAGGGAGATTCCGGTGGTCCGGCAGTCGATTATGTAAATGGTATTCATATGAATGTTAACATAATTTTATAGAATTTTATATGTATTTTGATATAATGATAGATTTGATTTTATTTTATAGACACAGGAATTTTAGTCGGTATCGTGTCATATGGTATTAATTGTGCAGGTTAAATAATTTATTAAATTATTATAATAAAATCTTAATTATGACTAATATAAGTTTTAACATAATTATTACAGATGAATATCCCGGTGTTTATACTAAAGTATCTTATTTTCTAAATTGGATTCAAAATAAAATTACAACTAATTAAAAATACTAATATACCAGTACAGCATTAATTTTTGTAATTTATATGATATTAAATTAAAACTGTAAAATTTTGATATGAATTGTTTTAAATTTGTGTTAAATTGTTATTTTAACTAGTCATTTTGTAAGTCCATAATTCTAAATTGTAGTAATATTTTGATGTAATTTTTATTAGAATAAATAATTTAGAATTAATTATTAGATATAAAATAAAGAAAATTAAAATTCAATACACAAGTATAGTTTGTATTACCATTTTGAATGTATACACGTTTATGTTTTAATTAATTTTAAAATCAAAATAAACAAATATTTGTTTTTAAAAAAGTTTCTTTTATTTACGAAGATATAGAATTTACTTTTTTTTTGTGTAAATCTTTGATTTAAATTTTAGTTTATTTATTAATTATTAATTAAATATTCATTAGTATATTTCATTGAAAACAACTTATATAAAATGAGATCTCAAATCATAATTCACTTATTAAAGTATTTTTTGATTTTAAGTAAGTATACGGTAATATAAGTTACGGTAAATTATACATTATAAAAATCAGTTTTGTTTAATATTCCATATTATTTTAAATGTTTAGATTTGTTTACTGTGAATAAATTTCTCATATATTCAAATGAATTTGTTTTTGGCGACAAATTCATTGAGAGAAGGAGAGGTTCATCTGATTATCGTATTAATAGTGAATTTAATAAAACCCACAAATCATCAACTAATCCGTGGATTAAAAACTATGCCGAAAATATTAACGATAACGCGAGGGCTGAACAGCCTGTGGGAGGGATCAACCCTCGAGTTCCTTCATATGATTTTGGTGACAGATCCCTGTCATCGGCCAAAGAACCCATTTCCTTATCTGCACCCAACTGTGGTCTCCATAAAAATAATTTTATAGTCGGCGGATACCAAGCGTCGCCGGGATCTCACCCGTGGATCGCAGCCCTTCATATTGAGGGCGACTTTATGGGCGCCGCTGTCATCATAAATGAGTGGTGGGTTATAACGGCTGCCCACATGTTTCAGTCAGTTACTCACATTTGTCATACGTTTTGATTAAACAATAATTTACAAAATATTGGTTTAGAAATCACAAGAATCCGGAGACCTTCACCATAGGAGTTGGCGATAATAATCGAGAGAAGGGAATATTTTATCAAGTGGACAAGATCATTTTTCATGAAAGGTATAATGCATTGGGAAAGCGAGAGTCAGACATTGGACTCATGAAGTTGGATAAAGCCATTGAATGGAATCATAAGACTCAACCAATTTGTTTGCCATCGGTTCCGTTCGAAGAGCCCAAAAGTGCC